CATGACAATATATGGTAATAGCCACGCCCGATTAGTCCCAAATGTCTCTGATCTCCTAAAGCAATTTTATTAGACCGGAACGAGACGTCTGTCAACAGCTGACATGCTACGGTTGACCGCCAAGATCACATGTTTCTACTCGTCTTTATTTCTGTCAGTGTGAAGTCCTTAAAAGAAAATCAGCAAGCACACAAAAATTATTGACAAGAAAAACAGATCGTTGCCATCATCGACATTGAACTTTATTTGAACGTTTTATAGTTCAGTATCCTAGCCACTGCATTCATTTTTTTTTTATGTGTCATGTCTCTTCAGGACGCATGCGATCATGTCTCTTCATATTTTCCCTTCCATTATATCTCTAATTAATGTCTGTCTTCTAAATGTCCCCTCCCGTCGCTGTTTTACCATCCATTTACACATGCTTATTGCGTAGGTTGTTCGATGCTTCCCGCCGCTTCAACTTTGTTTATTTCTGATTCTAAGTAGAAGTTTTTCATTTTACTTAAAACTTCCTCTTGATCTCATATTCCGTCAATGGTATTCTCAAAATGCTTCTGTAAAAAAAAACACATAGGACTTGCTCCAAATCTAATCTAATCTTCATTAGTTGCCACTAATCTTCTTTTCGCTGCCATATAAAATGATTGACACTTGATAGCATATCAGCATTCTTTTCTTTGTTTCTTGAGACTTTGAATAACTTTGTTTGTTTGTTTGTTTGTTTTTTTGTTTCTTTGTTTCTTTCTTTCTCACTGAAATCAAACAGCGTCACTATTGAGCCCTTTTCCCTAGCGTCCAAAACGGAATAGTCCATTAATCATCAGATATTATTAGGGCGTTTCTATATTTCTTTTATCTCACTGAAACCTAGTAGCGTCTTTAAATTTAATATTTCTACCAATCCATGAGATGAAAACGGAACAGTCCCTTATTTATGAAGGCATTTGGCAGGGCGCAACGTACGTTTCTTTCTTTCTCACGAAAATCAAACAGCGTCTCTGTTGTGTCTTTTCCCTTTTTCCTAGCGTCCAAAACGGAACAGTCCATTAATTATAAGGTTTTTGTTAAGGTGTCTCTGTATTTCTTTTTCTCACTGAAACTGAGTGGCGTCTCTGAATTTAGGAGTAGATTGTTCTAATTCATTTTTTTTTTTCAGTTTCTAATCTCTTGTGTTTATGTCACTCATCAAATGGCAGCTAGATGACACGTTGGGTTAAGAAGTTAGTTAAAGCATATCTAGTTTCCTGGGGTTCCTTAGTTCACTCCCTGGAATGGCTAACGAAAAAGTTAAATGCTCTATTTCAGTTGAGAAAAATCGACAGGCTAAACAAACTTTGCCTTACACGCCATATATTTTCACTTCTGATTCACATTGGCTCTTGCTAATAGTACCCATGAAAATTTCACTTTCTTCTTCTTTTAATTTTGTTTACTTTGTTTTTGTTTTTGTGTTTTTTTTTCTTTAATTCGGTCTTTAATTCTTTCTTTCTTTTTCTCACTGTTGTGGGGCTCTCCCCTGTTTACATAAGATGGACTCGTCCAAAGTATACTTATACTGACAGAGAGAATACCTGCTGTTGAAATACGTTGAGATACGTGGATATACGTTGAGATACATTGAGAGATACGGAGACAGACACAGGGTGTTCTCAGGGATTTTTGAGAGAGAGAGAGAGAGAGAGAGAGAGAGAGAGTTGGAGAGAGAGAGTTGGAGAGAGAGAGTTGGAGAGAGAGAGTTGGAGAGAGAGAGTTGGAGTTGATTACGGCTTTACTTACAGAGACTTGTACATATACTTTCTACTAACCCGAATTCCTGGATTACTAATCTTCACTTCAAGTCTGTATTCTTACGTTTAATACACTTATTTTTCTATCTCAATTACTGGCGTTGTTTATTTATTTGTGCAGGATTCCATTCCCGGAATCCACAACACTCACTGAAATAAAACCGCGTCTCTCTGATGTCTTTCCACGTTTTTCTCGCGTTCAAAACGGACACAGTCCGTCATTTATGTGGTATTGCCAGGACCTTTATTTCTTTTCTTTTTCTCAATGGAGTAATGGATTGCGGCTCGGATGAAGGAATCGGAGAGCCGAGTTCGAATTCCACTCGAATCAAATTACATTCACTTCCTTGCATTGGGAAAGGTATCATCGTCTTCTCCAAACTCCCCTTATGTATGGGTAAATAGCAGGACAGACCAGGTTCTATAGCCTTGAATGGCAACTGGTCTACCGCAGTAAGAAATGGCAACCTACTGCGGCAAAAATCTGCCTCGTTAGTCACGTATGGAAAGATACGTGTTCAAGAATTGCACCTGACTTAAAAGAAAAGTGCCTACAATATGTCTTTTCTGTCTTTCCACGAAATCAAAACGGAATGGTCCATTATTTATGAAGGTATGGCCAGGGCGTAACGCAAGCGCTAAAGGGGAATCAATCAGAATTGAAATAAGATGGTATTATTTTGCATCATGAATAACTTCTGTCTTTGCAGATTTCGTATTTACCCTTTAGAAAATACAGTACAAACACACTTTATTCAATTTTATATACAGCTTTATTTTACATATATATATATATATATATATATATTTAAGTAATCCATCGAGTCTGAAAGAAACCTCAACAGAATGCAGAAAGCCGGTTCAATTCATATGATAGAAATTATTACGAGGAATATGTGAGCGAGCGGCGCTATATTGAGTCTGATTTGCAATCTCCTCGTCGCCGAGGCCCGTTAGTACAGTTGGTATGACGTTTGCCTATTAATGTAACTGTCAGGGTTTCAATCCTCGGTAGTGGATGTGCACTGCTGATGAGTCCCAAATATAGGACGAAACGGCCGTCCAGTTCTTTCTGCATTCTGTTGAGTATTCTTTCAGGCTCGATGAATTACTTAAATATAATTATCGAATACTCCTAATAATTTCTGTTTTATTATATATTTATTTTAGATAAAGCTTTATTTTCAGTGATCTCATACCACTTAGCAAGCAGCTCTTCGATACATTCTGTTTACGATTCGGCAGGTTTTGGTGAGAAAACAAAAAACTTTTTTGAGGCTCTGCTGAATATATTTTTCATTAGAGAGAAAGTTTTTCAGAATTTGACAGCGACCAATGAAAAGGAATAATCGGTTTGTGCAAGGTTAGCCGGATATGACACGTCGGGTAGAATAGACCAACCGGGATCCAAAACGTGGAACTTTTTTCATACGATCCACCGCTAAAAGTTGCTGCAAATGTGATTAGCTCATTCCCAACTCCTTCTAACACGCTTTATCATTAGAAGAGTCAAATCAAACGAAAAACGGCGTATTGCTGCTATCATGATCATCGTCGGTCTACCAGAGTCGGGAAAATCGTGCCAATGCGAACGATCTTTTCTTTAGGTCTATAGTATGTGGTACGCCAGGGCTACATACAGTTTTGAATTCAGGATTACTTTTTCTTAGACCGGTTGCCACCTAGAGTTATAGAACCCAGTCTGTCCTGCTATTTATCTACAGCCGTGAGGGCGGGGGAGAAGAGGATTCATACCTTTCCTAAGGGTATTAGTACATAAGTAAATGCAATGGATCTGACTGGAATATTGCTGCCATACCTGGGTTGCAGCTGTCCAATTATTACATTCCAGCCTTGACAGGTCGTTTGCTTTTGGGGTATAATGTATCTTCTACCTTGCAGCCTCTTTCCCGACAGCGAAATCCTGTCGCTACACTATCGCTATTTCAACGGAAAATGCTCAGATGAGCCACATTCCATAGCTTTACCAGTGCTCTTTACAGCTAGGACCCATCAGTGCTATTTACAGCTATGACCCATCAGTGCTCTTTACAGCTAGGACCCGTCAGTGCTCTTTACAGCTAGGACCCATCAGTGCTCTTTACAGCTAGGACCCGTCAGTGCTCTTTACAGCTAGGACCCGTCAGTGCTCTTTACAGCTAGGACCCGTCAGTGCTCTTTACAGCTAGGACCCATCATGGGTTGAATCATCCTTATTGCCTCCATATTCTATTGTTAAGAATTAAGTTCTATTCGGAAAGATTCTTCCTAAGAGCCGCTACTCCGGTGAGGTTGCTTTCTCGAACGCTACGATAATAACGTATTAGGTCAATCAGTATCTATCTTACATAGCCATATAATCTCATTATTCCTTGTGTTAAGCTTATATCACGCGTCTCGATCAATAATCGTCTACATTAAGTAGGGAGAGACAAGAAAACTGGGATGTGTTTTAGTATTGATCTGTAGATTTCTCACCGGGAATTTTGATTTGAAACGCCTACAGCCCACTATCTGCGAAGTTTGATCACAGCGTAGGGAAGCGTTTTAAGTACATTTATGGATCAGGGATTTTTGAAACCGTTAAGAAAATGAATCAAGAAAGCCGAGCAGCAATTCCTAACGAATATATGTCAATATAATGTGTCGACTAATCTAAATAAAAAGGAGCATGTTTTTCAGCGAACAAAATAAAACTCCTTTCCTTTAAGTAAAACTTTTTTAAAATAAAAAAAAGTAAACGGTATTACTTCATCGTTAGTTCCTCTTCTGCTTCAGTCGGCGAAAGGACCTTTGAATCTTCTTCCTCAAGATCATTTCAATGAGCTTTCAGACTGGTTGGCAGCGCGCATCTCTCTCCAAATACTTGACCGACAACCGAAGGCCACGGAATACGGTGTCAGTCGCCTTCGATCCGTACACTAGGCCCTTGGAATTTAATTCAGATTTGTTCTTCTCTTAGATCAGTTGACAGCCAAGGCTATAGGATCTAGTCTCTCCTACTATTTACCCATAGCAGGGTAAGGGAGATGAAGTAGATTTATACCACTCCAAAGGTTTGGTTTAGTTTATTTTGTTTATGATATTAGAATAATTAGGCTTTATTCAACAGAATATAACGCATGCGTATAGTGTCCTTCTATAGTCCCAGAAAGCAGAAATAGCTCTAGGAGGAGAGTAATAAAACAAGGGAAGACTACTCTTGATTAGTCATAACATCGCATATTTTCTTAATTCTTTCTTTCTATCGCTTTTTCGAAAATTGCTATCAATGCTTTCTTTTCCTTTCTTTCAAATTCAAGTTGCCAATGTGTTTTACTACTTTATCTGGTTCTTTCTTTCTTTCTTTCTTTCTTTCTTTCTTAAGCCACTTTTCCTTCTCTTTCTTTCAATTTTCTTTCTTCCTTATTTACGCTGCTTATCTCCTATAATTCCACTTCCGGTTTCTTTGTCTCTTTCTTAACTATGTTGACATAATCCATATCTTGGTCCTAATTTTCTTTTTTCGGTTTTTCATTCTTTCTCTCGTTCTTGCTTTCTTTCGCCCTTTCTTTTTTTATGTGGCCTGTATATTTCAATTCTTTATTTCATTTGTTTTTCTTAAACTATGGCCGTGTTTCTCAAATGTTTTTATAATATAATTATATGTTATAGACTCAATAGGTTATTTCAGGCCGACAAGATATTTAGGATAGGTTCGTATGAATAGAATATGTATTCTTTGAAGGAAATCAGTTTGTAGATCAGGTTTTATTGATTTATTTTTGTACAGAGGGTTTTTGTCGAGAGTTAAATGTATTGCTGGTATTTATTTTTTTTTTTCAAATTTTTTTTTTTATTTTTACTATAAAAATCCCTTTTTATAGTGCTTTTATCCCAGTTTTACGGTTAACTATTTGCCCATAGCTGGGACCCCAACAGGTTTTACCAATTCTGTTCAGGGAATAACAGTAGTTAAGGAGTGGCTCCACGCTCCCCAAAATCAACCGATCAGAGGCTTTGCTTCTGGATATAGTTAATCGTTATATACAGGGCGCTTTTCCCAAGAGGATTAGAATGTAAGTGAATATAATGACCTCGGCTTTGATTCGCAATCGGCTCCATGATTACTCCTCTGTGTCCCTGATGCATAGACGTCCTCCAGAGATGAAATTTGTAGTACATGGCTGATTTATAAATTAACCGTAACTGCTCTTTGAGTATTTACCTCTTTTTTTTTTCTTTTCATGAGTGCTCTCAAATGTTTTTATAATATAATTATATTGATATAAATTTCCCAGAGCCATCATTACGTTAGGCTGACGTTAGAAATGTCTATGATTTATTCAACGGTTTATTGTTTGTGCCACTAGTCAGTTGTAGTAAATTCTTTACAAGTTTTAGTTAAAAGAAAATTAGAATGTCATCGATCTGCTTTTAAATATTTGTCCGTGTTTTTTTCGCTTTTAAATATTCATTCGTTTCTTCCGCTTTTAAATATTCGTCTATACATTGGTCTTTCTTTTTTATATGTTTTTTTTTTAATTATTTCACCCCAGACAAGGCAATAAAGTAACAAAGACGCAAAGGGGTTCTTTTGTTAAATGGGTATTATTTTTTTTTTACTTTCTTTGAATTTAACGATGTGTTTTACTTCTTTATTCTGATCATTCTTTTTCATCTTTTTACATCATTCATTCATTCATTCTTTCTTTCTTTCTTTCTTTCTTTCTTTCTTTACTTCTTCTGATCTCTATATAATGACGAAAGTACGTAAGTGTAGACTTTAAGAAGGCTTTATTCAACAGAATATAACGCATGCGTATAGTGTCCTTCTATAGTCCCAGAAAGCAGAAATAGCTCTAAGAGGAGAGTAACAAAACAAGGGCAGACCACTCTTGATTATTCATAACATCCCATATTTTCTTAATTCTTTTTTCAATCGCTTTTTCGAAAATTGCTATCAATGTTTTCTTTTCCTTTCTTTCAAATTCAAGTTGCTCATGTGTTTTACTACTTTATCTGGTTTATTCTTTCTTTCTTTCTTTCTTTCTTTTTTTCTTTCTTTCTTAAGCCACTTTTCCTTCTCTTTCTTTCAATTTTCTTTCTTCCTTATTTATGCTGCTTATCTCCTATAATTCTACTTCCGGTTTCTTTGTCTCTTTCTTAACTATCTTGACATAATCCATATCTTGGTCCTAATTTTCTTTCTTCGGTTTTTCATTCTTTCTCTCGTTCTTGCTTTCTTACGCCCTTTCTTTTTTATGTTGTCTATATATTTCAATTCTTTATTTCATTCGTTTTTCTTGAATCTCTATAAATTAACTTAATTATCTTTCATTCTTAATTTCTTTCCTGTTCATGTCTTTTATTTTTACATCTTTTCTTTTTCACATCAGTTTCTCATAGCCTTTCTTTCTTTTGTTAAATGCAATCCTTTTTCTATCTTTCAAATTCAAATCGCCAAATATGTTTTAGTTCTTTCTTCGGATCATTTTCTTTCTTTTTTTCTTTCATTCTTCAATATATGTCATAAGCCACTTCATGATGCTAATTTTCTTCCTTCCGTTTTCCATCCATTCATTCCATCCATTCTTTCTATCTATCTATCTATCTATCTATCTATCTATCTATCTATCTATCATATTTTGTCTTAAACCATTTCCTGATTCTAATTTCCTTCCTTCCTTCCTTCCTTCTATCTATCTATCTATCTATCTATCTATCTATCATATTTTGTCATAAAACACTTCCGGCTTCTAATTGTTTTCCTTCCTTCACTCATTCATTCACTCAATCTATCTATCTATCTATCTATCTATCTATCTATCTATCATATTTTGTCATAAACCACGTCTTGCTTCTAATTTTCTTCCTTCCCTTTTCCATTCATTCATTCATTCATTCTATCTATCTATCTATCTATCTATCTATCTATCATACTTTGTCATAAACCATTTCCTGATTCTAATTTCCTTCCTTCCTTCCTTCCTTCCTTCCTTCTATCTATCTATCTATCTATCTATCTATCTATCTATCTATCTATCTATCTATCTATCTATCTATCTTGGCCTGTTCATAATAATCTATCTATCTATCTATCTATCTATCTATCTATCTATCATATTTTGTCATAAAACACTTCCGGCTTCTAATTGTTTTCCTTCCTTCACTCATTCATTCACTCAATCTATCTATCTATCTATCTATCTATCTATCTATCATATTTTGTCATAAACCACGTCTTGCTTCTAATTTTCTTCCTTCCCTTTTCCATTCATTCATTCATTCATTCTATCTATCTATCTATCTATCTATCTATCTATCTATCTATCTATCTATCTATCTATCTATCTATCTATCTATCTATTTTATTCTGCTCATATCTATCTATCTATCTATCTATCTATCTATCTATCTATCTATCATACTTTGTCATAAACCATTTCCTGATTCTAATTTCCTTCCTTCCTTCCTTCCTTCCTTCCTTCTATCTATCTATCTATCTATCTATCTATCTATCTATCTTGGCCTGTTCATAATAATCTATCTATCTATCTATCTATCTATCTATCTATCTATCTATCTATCTATCTATCTATCTATCTATCTATCATATTTTGTCATAAAACACTTCCGGCTTCTAATTGTTTTCCTTCCTTCACTCATTCATTCACTCAATCTATCTATCTATCTATCTATCTATCATATTTTGTCATAAAACACTTCCGGCTTCTAATTGTTTTCCTTCCTTCACTCATTCATTCACTCAATCTATCTATCTATCTATCTATCTATCTATCTATCTATCTATCTATCTATCTATCTATCATATTTTGTCATAAACCACGTCTTGCTTCTAATTTTCTTCCTTCCCTTTTCCATTCATTCATTCATTCATTCATTCTATCTATCTATCTATCTATCTATCTATCTATCTATCTATCTATCATATTTTGTCTTAAACCATTTCCTGATTCTAATTTCCTTCCTTCCTTCCTTCCTTCCTTCCTTCCATCTATCTATCTATCTATCTATCTATCTATCTATCTATCTATCTATCTATCTATCTTGGCCTGTTCATAATAATCTATCTATCTATCTATCTATCTATCTATCTATCTATCTATCTATCATATTTTGTCATAAAACACTTCCGGCTTCTAATTGTTTTCCTTCCTTCACTCATTCATTCACTCAATCTATCTATCTATCTATCTATCTATCTGTCTGTCTGTCTTTTCTTCTTTCTTATGCGGCCTATATTTTTAATTCGTTATTTCATTTGATTTTTTTTTTATTTTACATCTTTCTCCACGTTTTTTTTTCTTTTCTTCTTCTCTTAATGCCATTCCATGTTCTTTCTTTCCGATTCAAGTCGCCGATCTGTTTTGATTCTTTGTCCGGGTTATTTTCTTTCTTTCTTTCTTTCTTTCTTTCTTTCTTTCTTTCTTTCTATCTTTCTTTTTTCAAATAAATTTTTGGTTTTCTTAACTTTCTCTCTCTCTCTCTCTCTCTCTCTCTCTCTTTCTCTCTCTCTCTTTTCTGTCAAATCCATGACTTCTATTTTATATTTTATTTCCCACCAGTTTTCTATGGCCGCCCACTTTCTCAATATCCATCTCGCCTTATCTCTCTCTATCTATATTTCTTTCCTTCCATCCATTCGCTTCTCTTTATTCGCATCCTTCTTTCTCTGTTTCCTTGTGTGTCTCCTCATCTCAAAGTCTATGTTTATTTACCTGCTTCTGAAATGTCAGTCGGCACAAATTGAAGACCCGTTTCCACTTTAATTTTCAACAAGACGCTTTCCATTTTTGTAAAAGAAATGACTCACGTGGGAAAAAGAAAAACAAATGATGACGAACTCTAAAAAAAGAAGGGAATTGTAATGATTCGCAGGAAAATGAAGTAGAAAAAAACCAAAAAAAAACCAAAGAAAACCAAAAGTCGATAACCAAAATAACGAAAATCTTGAAAGGTAACTGCGTAGCGAATCAGAGTTTATAAAACGACAGCAGCAATCCGTCAAATTTTACACAGGACATTAAACTAGAAGATTCTGAAGATATATTTCCACTATTTATTAAAGTATATATTTGTTCTTTCTATTTATACTTTCTTTCTTTTTTTCTCCCTTTTCAGTTTTCTTTCTTGAATGTAGATCTTTCTTTCTTTTGCGTCTTTCATTTTCATTTTACTTCTTTTTTTTTCTCGGCCTGTCCTGAAGGCACTAAGTCTTTCTTTCTTTCTTTCTTTCTTTCTTTCTTTCTTTCTTTCTTACAGTTCTTTTCTTTTATCTTAATTTCTTTCTTTTTTCTTACGTTCTCGTTTCTTTCTTTCTTTCTTTCTTTCTTTCTTTTCATCTTACAGTTTCTATTCTTTTATCTTAATTTCTTTCTTTTTCTTTCTTTCTTTTTCTTTCTTTCTTTCTTCCTTTCTTTTCATCCTACAGTTTCTTTTCTTTCTTTCTTTTATCTTAAT